TGAGCAATCATTTTTTCCATATCAACTCGAGCAACAAAATGATATTCTATTAAAATATAACTCGAAAACTAAATATTCTATTAACAAAAGATATTATAAATATACCTCGACCATTTTGTTCACCTGGCCGAGGTGCTCTTGTTGTATCTAAGAACATACTACTATAAATAGAAACAATTATCAAATATTTAAAATTGACATACGAGATACACTAAAAGCAAATGCTGTTGGATATTCTTTAAATAATTCAGCAATTAATGTACTTTTACCAGATCTAAAACAAAAATTTTTTTTTATCTATAAATATATTTATTTTGATTAAAAGAAAGGTGCTATACCCGCTTGGTCCAGACAAAACTATAGCTCGAGGTTTTACTGTCGTCGTAGGAGGCATCTTTGGTCGAATTTGTTTACTTATTCTAGAAAATAGAAAAGAACAAAAATTTGAAGTCGAGCAGTTAGAATATAGATGACAAATCTGATAGTAAAAACGACGATGGAAATAGTGAAGAAAAGAAAATGACAAGAGTGTTGCCGAGCATAGATACCTTTAGTCATGATAGAAAAAAAAAACTTTTGCGGATGTTCACATGAGTGGAAGAGAAAGAAAGAAAAAAGTCTCATGCAAGTTATTCATCTAGATTATTATAGATTATAATTTCTTATTGATAATAAAAGTATTGAACCTAAAAACTTATTTTGTTTTTCTTATAGATTATGATAAATAAATGTAATGGTTGATTTATTATATAGGAAATTATTTCTATGAAATTTTTATCTTGTACTTATAGGAAAAAGAAAAGATATTTCATAAGTTGGTTAAAACATTAAAAAATAATGTAAATAAATGTTCATTCTTTTCGCGAAAGAATATATTTTTTTAATCAAAGAAATCAATTTAACATGATTATGGCGAATATTCGACAAATTTTATTAGAATTTTGTTATATAAAATGAATAAATTATTTTTATGGATTTATTTTTTTATAGATCCATGCCTATTGAAAGAACTCAAAAAAAAAATCTAAAAGATGGCTCTAGATTCTAAGTATCAAAAGCGTTGATTCTAGCGACTCTTACCATTTCTATTTTGTTTCTCGACTTGGATATAATCCACGATGCATCTAAAAAAAGAAACACGTAAATATTATTTCAGCATATTGTCAATTTCGTTTTGGAATATATATATATCGTGCATCAAATCATTAGTTTTATAAAAGATTATTACTTCAATTTGCGTGTTTTTTGAAACGGAATTAATGAAGTACTAGATACTTCTTCACTTAATTGACATTGCTCACGTACCATCGATGTTCTCCAGTTTGTCATTCAAAGAAGAGGTATAATTGCAAGTGAAGAAGTATTCTTCATTATTAAAATCCTGAAATAAACTACCGATAGCATATCTTTTCTGTAATTACGTCTTCATACTGATTGGTGTAATTTACACTCACAGCATTGCGTAAGAGTGAGGGCGCTGTGATTAAAGTGAAGACATTTCAGAGTAATGAAATGAAATTTCTAATGGAGTAAGGACTTTCATACATCTTCTAATAATATAAGTTTTAGGTCATTAGTATCTTAAAACGTTGTCCTATTACAATCTAAAGATGCGAAGAATAAAAATGTTTTTTGTTAAATCTAATAACCTACACTCGAAAACCAAGTCGGATTATGAGCAATGTGAACTATCATTCATTTTTTTTTTGAAATCAAACAAGACTGGAATTTCGATATGTCTATTGGATAATTACTTCATCTTATCAAAGTGAAAGATGTGAACTATCGACTGTTTAAAAAAGAAAATCTTCTAATTCAAGATCTCAAGAGTCTTATGCTAAGTAACAGAATTTCTCAAAACATTGTCATACAGATTTCTATTTTAACCAAACTTCTAAATCTTGAGATATATTAGCAAACAGTTCTGACTTTGATTGATGAGGCATTTTGTGTCTATACACATAAGTGGTAAAACCACAAGGTTTGCGTAGGGTTCAAATACTTTTTCTCTTCCCCTCAAGTGGATAGATTTGAATAGCACATTACATTTTTACTATGACTTGAGGTGTGCATTCTTCATTATAAGTGAAGAAGAATTGTACGAAAAGTCTGAGCCAGATTAATAAGAAACTGCCAAAATTTTCTTTCATCCTCAGTGACTAAGATTACATGTCTATTAAACATTTTCAATAGTGAACAAAATCATCATACACTATTATTTGTTTTTGTAAAACATTCGTGCTGCATCACGGAATTTTCTTCAGCAAAGCAAAACAGAAACTTTCTTTTCTAAAGTCCCATGTTTTTCTTTAATCTACATCACTATCATACATTGCAAAAAGTGAATTCGCAAAAAAAGAAGCACGAACTGTATTTCATCTAAATATGACATTCAATAACTCGTCTTCCCTCATTTTTTCTAACTTCCAAATATGAATTTTATTTAGAAAAAACAAACGTTGAGCATATCCTACGCTCAAAACAATCTGCCACATATATTTATAAACGAATATGA